TGGTTTATTTTTTTTATAGCGGTACTCGATCTAAATGGCCGATTTTTCGCTGGACGTGTCGTGAAGGCTGGATTTTACGATGCAGAAAAATTCAGGAATTTGGAACTCGCCGATGCGCCATTGTCTACATAACTTTCCGTTTCATTATGCACAGTATATATAATTATTGTCTAGTTATACATGTACACGTGTTCTAATCGACTTCACAAAACACAGTATACAACTTCCGGATTGGAGAACTGATTAAATGCGGGTTTCTTAATACAGTACATTGGGTAATAACATATTCCTCCTAATTCTAAGTAGAAATAACAAGAGCACTTTCATATAGGGCTCAAAAGTCAGTCACATACCTACCTTGAGCAAAACTCAAGATCTTGACAGACTGTTGGTAAAAGTTATGTTCAAATTGTAATAAACTACATTCTGACAAAGCTTTTGGTCATGAAATTTATTATTTGCATATTGTTCTTGTTACCAGTCTAGGAAAGATAATTTGCTGTGGATATAAATTGTAGCTGAGAATTGATTCAAATTTTTTTATTTAGTTCTGCATAATTTTCTCATTAATCTTAGTATGTATTCTTATTCAAGCTGTTTATGTATTTAGGTGATTTACTTCAATATCCTTAGTGCATTCGAAAACTTATTTACGAAATATTATGCTCAACGGGAATCGGTTTGTGATATTTTCTGACAAGCACTCAAGATATAGTCCGCGAATTGCTAAAACCTACGTTATTTATTTATTTGAACACATAAATATTGGTACAAGAGGGCACCAAATATATATGCACCACACAAAACAATGAGAATGGGAAGAGAAAAAAGAACAATAACGACCAGATTAGTGTAAGGTAGTGTAATAATAATGGGGGAAACGGAAAGGTATAACTAGAAAAAATCTTTCAGCTAAGGAAGATACAACCACTTTTTATGAAAAAATTAAAAGAAGGTTGCAGCAGGATCGCCACTGGCTTCTATTCTGAGCCATATCTGATAAAGTCTCTAGCCACTGTGTCGCACCATCTCTCGGACCCCAGTCACTGAGTTATGAAGGACTAACATTAGCCAGTCCTTTGCAGTTTTCTTTCATGCCACGACAACATGTCATACATTGACCACCTCTTCGCTTTTTCCAACCAGTTCCAGAGTCGGCAAATAATGCACGAAATGGAATTTTCTGGGACGACATTCGTAGAACATGTCCAAGCCACCGAAGTCGGTGTTTCAAGATGGTGACATCGGTTGCATTATCGTCTCTGTGCCCGAACACACGATGCCGAACCTCTGCATTACTGAAATGGTGTCGCTGTAGTGAACAAAATACGGGTGGGTACAATCGGATGCATTTAACACAAAATTACAGGACCTGTTACTAAAATCTAACAATCATAAAGTAAATGCCTAATTTGCAAAATGCACACCAATGGCCTCAAGATGACTTAGACCTCATTGTTCTTGCATTTTCATACAAATTGCATCGTGTTTCCATTCTTTACTGTTCAATCCTCTTGTCTCTCTGCTGTCAGACCTGTTCACAACTAACATATACTACTTATGTCTATACAAGTAGCACACACCACATTGGCACTTTATGTCCGCAATCCTTCGGAGACAACGATGATCAAACACAGAGAGTCGTCTGACATCCTCAACTCGGAGAGGCCAGGTTTCACAGGCATAGAACAAAACTGCTCTCACTGACGCGTTGTAGATCCGACGTTTTATAGCCAGACTGACATCAAGAATGCGCAAAAGATGGCCCAGATTGGCATGAGCTGCTCTGGCTTTCACTATACGTGCATTGATCTGATCACTCACGCGACCACCAGCACTTATGCAGCTACCTAGATACACGAACTTCTCGACTACTTGTATCTGCTCACCATCCAGGGTGAGTACAGGATTAGAATCCTGTCAGTCTTGTAGAAGTACTTTGCACTTCGAAGGTGCAAAGCACATACCGTACCTACGGACATTGATTGCTAACTGATTAAGTGTGGATTGCATGACTTGGACATTGTCGCACAGTGAGACAATATCATTTGCATACTCAAGGTCGAGAAGTCTTTCTCCAGGCAACAGATCCACACCACCATTACTTACATTCATCAGAGCTGTTTCCAGAATATCGTCGATGGCAAAGTTGAAGAGGAATGGTGAGATTGAGCGACCTTGTCTAATCACACTGCTTGAAAGGGACAATGGAGAAAGGTGGTTGTATGTCCTCACTCTGCCTGAGGTGTTTGTATATAGGGCTTTTAGGATGTTAATAAACTTCTCAGGCACACCCTTCTTCAATAAACAATCCCAGAGAACAGTCCTGTTCAACGAATCGAAGGCAGCCCTGATGTCAAGAAACACTACGATTGTTGGCCTTTGATAAGTATGACGCTGTTCTAACATTTGTTGGAGGGTGAAGATATGATCAATACATCCTCGACCGGAACGAAACCCAGCCTGCTCCTCGCGAGTCAATGTTTCTCGGGTTTTGAACAACCTACGAAGTATGGCGGAAGCCAATAGCTTGGACGCAATCGGAAGTAGACTTATTCCCGGATAGTTGTTACAGGAACGACGTGAACCCTTTTTAAAGATAGGGACAAATATCGGCTCATTCCATGACGTTGGAACACTCTCTAGCTCCCAGACCTTTGTAAACAACGTCGTCAGTTCCTTAACAAGAAAGTCACCACCATCTTTAAAAAGAGTCAGAGGTGTGTAATCTGGGCCCGGTGATCTGTAGCGTTGGAGTTCCTCGCGAACTTCCGCCTCATTTGGTGGATCAGTCATGACCAGCCATGTAGGGCAGGACAGTCTGAACAGTAAGCCAGTTGAACTGCCCTTCGAAAAATTCTGCCCATCGTGCAATACGTCGATGGATGTTAGTGATTGGCATCCCGTCATCCTCGCAGATTGTTTCGCACACACCAGACTTCTTGCTGCCAGTGGCTCCGATGAGTTGGAAGAGCTTCCGGTAGTTACCAGATGTAGCTGCTGCCTCACGCTCATTAGCACGCTCCGATCACCAGGCTTCTCGATCCTTACGCAAGCTTTGCTCAATTTCATTACGTAACATCCTTCGTTTGTGGTCAAACTCACGGTCACCCGGAGTAGACCGACGGGCTTCAACGAGTTGTAAGGAAGCAGAAGGAACTCAGTGCTTATATGCAGGACGTTTCGCGAACCCACAACTGACTGTACCCACCATTTTCATGGCGTCATGCAATTGCAACCAATGCTCATCTATACTTTTCGGTGGAATGGTAGCTAGCCTAGAAACTAGCTCGGCTCGATACTTACTTGCAACAGAAGTTGCAACCAGCTTGCTAACATCAATCCTTTGGTGGCGGTCACTTCGTTGGCCACTGATAAGTAAGGCAAGATTGGCGCAGAACAGGGCATGATCAGAGTCCAGATAGGTACTCCAAAAGGAGCGGTAGCTGATCGCGATGTGATCAATCTGAGTCCAGGCTTGAGACGAAGAGGGAGGACGCCAGGTGGCACATCGGCGATGACTCCCGGAAGTTAGTGCTAGTCAGGAATAGGTTGTGGTCTGTGCACAGTTGCAGTAGACGGTTTCCGTTATCTATCCTGCAACCAACAAGTCCCCATCGGCCATCTAAACGACTCTCTTCTGTGCCCAGACGCCCGACCTGAGCATTCAAGTCTCCGGCTAGTACTACAATATCTGTCGAACGCACTTTCTGCAGAAGAACAGATAACTGGTGGTAAAACTCATCCTTGATTGCATCCGAGCTGCAATCTGTCGGGGCATAGGCGGAGATGACGAAAAGACATCGCTTCTCACGCCGATTTCTTCTCACTTTGATGGAACTTTCTAATCTAACAGCACATAACCGACTGTTAATGGGGATCCAATCGATTAGTGCTACCTCAGCTCTAGCGCTTAGCGCGACACCAACAAGACCAGACGAAGATGCCACAGGGCCCCCGGATGAACGCACATAAAACAAGCTTTTTGAAGCGACAGATGGAGAGCGAATTTGTAGTACTTCACCAGAGTCTTGAATATGGCTCTCGGATAGACAACAAAAGTTGATATTAAGTCTTTCCAAATACATAGCTAGCCCTATTTGTTGTCCGACCTGCATAAGTGTGCGAAAGTTGAAGGCAGCTAGTTTGAATGGTGCACGTGGTTTCAGAAAAACTGCTTCAGTATTCGCACTTGGTGGTAGCATACAATTTTCAGTGACTCGAGAACGTTTAGATAGAACCGAGTTTCCACCATAAGCGAGCTGCTGTATGAGTCGAAAAATAAGGATACGTAAAGTGGGAATAAATGTGAGTAAATTACGTAGTAAATAATAATAATCATTATGGGAATTGTTTGATTGTAAATCTAAGCGATAATAGAATTCTCAGTAAATATCGTCATTTTCATTTTATTTGTGTGTGGGCTGTGATACTGCCCGGCTGCCCAGACCGAAGCAGGTGGTTTTCTTAGGGGGCCACACCGCGAGCTTTTGTCCTAAAGGTCTGACCAACAACGCAGTGGAGCATCGTGAGGAGATGCAGTCTCAAGGTAGCCGGTGACCAACGATTGGTTCGTACGCCATTTGTTTACTCAGGATACTGGAGCCCATGTGCACCATTGATTTGGAATCCGGTTAAAGCGCCGGACATTCGCTTTTCGTTCTTTCATTTTCTTAGACAACATCCCCGCCACGAGAAGACAGTGAATAGGACTTCCCTGGCAGAGGCCATATACGCGTGGCCGTGTGAGAGCATTTGGAGAGGGAGGGCGGGCCCACCCCACTCTCGGCCATGCGAAGGCACTTACGTTGTTTGTCGCAGTTACTGAAAACACTGCGATAGGATATCAAACCCTGACCTAACTACACGAAAGTCTATAGTCCTTAAAGCTTTTTTTAGCTTGTCTGTTTGCACTTGGTCTGGTTAAAAGACGCACAGTCAAACATATTAACTTCTACACATGCGCTCGTTATGCTTCATTTATCGAGGTTACACACATTAATGAAATACAAATATATTTTGTTAAAAATAAAATACAAGTATACAAAAGCTGGACAAAAACATGAATATTGCTACATGGTGCTACAAAAACGTGAGCTTGTCATGGGTTGTAGAACAGGAGTTTCTGAGACTTTATTTTCTGTCCCATTCTGCGAGGGACCAGTGGACGGATTATGGTTGTTCAATACATCAGGTATTCCATTACTTTCGACAATTAAAGCAAGATGTGTACCATTCTGCTTTATTTGATTTACATGAGCAACAGATTTACGACCTTTCGGTTTCAAAAGGAGGTTATCCAACTTAACATTTGTTTCTTCAAATGCTTGTCGTGTACCAGCACTTCTAAGCCTTGCAGAGATAGGTGGAGTAATTACTTCTACAACCTGTTTTCTTGTTGATCGATGAAGTACCTTCTCGCTTTTTAGTACACTGCGAACTTGTTTTCTGAAAAAATCATGATTTAAGCTAGATGCTTACCGATTTTGTTTAGAGACCGTGGATTTGCGAGCAATACGTCCTTCCTCAGCTGGCATTGTAAAGGAGTATTTTACGAGCTACGTCAATCGTCGACTGTCATTCTGGAAAATAAAAACATTACATCATATATTTTTTTCCTTCAGAACAGTTAACCTTGATAGAACACTAAGAACTTTAAAAGTTCGCAGTTTGTATCTGAGTAAATCTCAGCTATACTTAGTAATAATTGCTTAGTCTTAAATATTTGTTTACCCATGTATTTTCCAAACTAACTGATTACTGTTATACATGTAGCGAAAGACAGTTTTTGACGTATTTGTCGAACCAATCTGCAGTTGTAAAAAAGTGAACATATGAAACGTCGTACCATGGTGAGAACAAAGCATCTAAAAACATGTCTAATATAAATTCAACTAATACAGTCTCAAGTATTTATGCGCTTCTCAGTTTCCTCGGCCTTATTCTTTCATAGTAATAAACGTAACATCGCTTTACAGGAAAGAAGTACTTCAGTATTTGGATCCCTTAAATCTCAGACAATATTCTGGAGATTGCTGGACAGTCAGTTCGTAACGATTTTTGTTATGGTAGCTCAAAGCCAAGAATGTGAACTGCTTGAATAGCTACGGTGTACCAAGTTCGGCAAAAGCAAAGGACTTTTTACGAAAATAAGGCCTGCGTACTTACAATGTTAGGTTTTAGACAGTCGCTCATGCTACAAATGATCTTTATAATAGCATCAAGTAAGTGTCATATATTTTGTCTACCATGGGGATCAAACCACTTGGTTAAGAGTGTGGCATGTTACATAGGGATTTAGTGATATATTAAAAACGTTCTATGGGCTCCTAAGAACCAACTATAAAAGCTTGAATATTTTGTCCAAAGGAGCTACGGTTGATGTATAAATTTAACTGACGTCTCAAGTGTATTGAAAAATTACGATGTGTAGAGTGTCCTATTTAGTGAAAATAAGAAGTCGTTAAAAGGGTGGTGAGATAATAAAATATGAAAAACCTCTGGGCAACGCTAAAATGGCTTTTAGAATGTACACCTACTATCAGGGACTAAACGAGGGTAATGAAGCAATGTGAAGATTTTTAATTGTGATTTAAAGTTGATGGTTATGGTTGAGAATCCCATTTAGGGTTTTTACCACGAACTGACATCAGGAATAATGATGACCCAAGCAGCCAATTTTGGGGAAGCCGCTATAGTAAGTTTTCGGGAAATGAGATTAATATCCAAAATTTCCCCAAACGTTTCGGTTTTTCCTGCAATACTTATTTAACGCAAAACCTTTACAAAAATCTCTAGACATCACGGAAGAACTAGCGAGAATGCTAACGTACATTTCTTACTGGGATGTTTTATTACTTTTCGTCAATCGCGCATTGTTAAAGAAACTTAATGTTAACCGATTTATCGCGATTATTAAAAGACTGATTTATGACATATATAAATATTTATTACAGTTAATAAAATTACAAATGATTCATTTATACAAAGTTTTGTACCTACTTTATCAAACGTTGCAATAGGCGAAAAGTTTCCTGTCAAAATGTTGACAACTGGAAATTCCACCGGGGCTAATCCAGCTTCAACCTCAGCAACCTCTAGTTCTTCAGAGGTGCATAGATAATCCTTTCGACTACCAAAATCGACCCCCTAAACAATGTGCTGCTCGATTCTGCTTCAGAAAATGCACCGTTTTGCATCGTTGTAGTAAGTTGTAATCAATTTACATTTATTGCTTCTAGACGACTACAGTGTTGCCTAGCAAATCAAAGTGTGTTTAACAACAGTGTTGGGCTACAATAATAATAACCTTAGCAGAAACGATGAAACACAGTCCTGTGAAGTTGAAAAGCCGAAAAGTTTAATTGTTTAACTTATTATATAATTTGTGTTAGGACTGTCAAACGAAAGCACAATGATTTGCCCCGGTAGAATTTCCAGTTGTCAACATTTTGACAGGAAACTTTTCGCCTAATGCAACGTTTGTACCTACTTTATCATTACTCATATAGCAGTTCATCAAATGCTGATGCATCATCACCACCACTTCCACATACGTATACGGAAGTTAATAAACGGTAAGTTGCATTTACTGTATTCCTGATAACAAAAGTTTGTGCGATGATACAAATCAAATGTTCAGAATTATCCTGAAAGCGGTCACTGAACTGTCTAGCAAGATGGATAAAGTGATCGCTGTATGTGAACGCTTAGCCATGGGTGTAAGTGACAGGCGTATGGAAAAGGATAGTGGTGCTATCACTTTTCCATTAAGAACACATGAGGAGTTGCGTTCTTTAGAGGCTGCTTCAGAAAACCGAAATTTCCGGGATCATTTCGTAAGTTGTAACAGGTGTTTGAACAAATTTTAGGTGGAAAGATTATACCACCTACTATGTGAGGATCCTCGGAAATCAGCGAAAGCCTGTCTGCAATACCTTCTTTCGCAGGAACTGGCGAACACTTACACTTTGCACGGAACCAGAAGTAAATTTGGTATTAGTAAGTACAAGTTTTACTCGACGGTTCAAAGTAAGTACACACTACTGTATTAACATATTTGTAGGTGCTTTGTGTTCACATTTCCGAAGTGCAAGCTGCCCGGAAAAGGAAATAATACACGCCATGGCTACAGCAAGCCAGGCTTTCTTGCATGACGCAAGAGATAAAGTACATAAACGTGGATGACGATCCAAAGAAAGGGTGGACTAAAACCACTTAACATGTTTGTTATAAAACATATTGCACTTTCAATATTTAAACTGATACAACTTCTGTCTTGTCCGTTTTCCTTTCAGCTGGCTTCGCAGGCTTCATCAGACGTAACTGTAAGTTCTTTGTTCGCATTATTAACAACATTGTCATACTGTTGGTACATCATCGACCTTTCACATATGTTGACACGTTATTATGCACTAAAAATGATTTTTTTTATTTTATAGAACAATATCAATGACAGTTCTACATCTACGTAAGGTGTTGCTGTTACAACGCAATGGAAAACTTTGTATAAATGAATCATTTGTAGTTTTATTAACTGTAATAAACATTTATATATGTCATAAATCAGTCTTTTAATAATCGCGATAAATCGGTTAACATTAAGTTTCTTTAACAATGCGCGATTGACGAAAAGTAATAAAACATCCCAGTAAGAAATGTACGTTAGCATTCTCGCTAGTTCTTCCGTGATGTCTAGAGATTTTTGTAAAGGTTTTGCGTTAAATAAGTATTGCAGGAAAAACCGAAACGTTTGGGGTGTTTTGGGGAAATTTTGGGGTTTAATCTCATTTCCCGAAAACTTACTATAGCGGCTTTCGCAAAATGGGCCAAATTTTCCCGAAAATTAGTAGCTTGAGAATTTACAGATTTACACATGCATATATGCATGTGTTTTTAATATTTAAAACATTCAGGGTATACGACTTATGATGATAAGTCCGATGAAGAATCTCTCTACCACCAAGTGTTTAGATCTAGTAATAGAAATACGGTACATAACTTCAGCCGACAGGTGAATTATATAAAATGAAAAACTTTTATACTTACCGCCTTAAAATAGGTCGAACAAAGCACTTGGATGTATCCGTTAGGGCGTTGATCCATTTAAACTGTTCAGCAGGAGACTTCGAGAAGTTAGGTTTTACATATTTTCAGCAAACTTTCTACCGACATAGTTAGAAGTTTCAAACTCATCTTCACATATGATTAGAATTTTACGTTATTTTATTAGGGAAACGCATAAAATGTTTGCTAGGCCGAGCGTCAAATGACTTACGTTGTCAGTTGTTATATCTTGAGGCAATACTGTTACATACGTCAGTGATAGAAACGTGTGACACGACAAAGTTGCAGTTTCGTCGTAAGTAGAACTGAGCATTGTTTTTAACAAAAACACTTTCAGAATAAATTGAGTAGAACAATTATTCTATTATTGCATTTTTCCAGTATACCGGATTAGAATCCATTTGTATGCTCTTGTGGGAATATGTGTAAGAACGACGCAACTATTCCGTTTTTCTTTTCTTTGCATCTATCATTTTTTTGTTCTCTTCGTCTACTCGTATTCTGTTTCTCCTCTGCATTCTTGCAATTGTTCTTATGGTCTGACAATTTCTGAAGTATGATCAATTGACGAACATGGTTTATATTTTTGGCCACTATACCTTCCACAGGCTGGATGTTTTATTTTTCAGTTGCTGGGAAGCTTCATTATTTTGACCAGTTTAAAGTTCATTTTTACTCTGTACTGCTGGTAAAAAAGTCACCGTGCCCGAGCCAAATAATCAAACACTTGGGTCAATGAATATCAAACAGTTCACTGATTGTCTTCAAGATCAGGGACAAGGAACGCGCAGAAGTTACTTACACATCATGGACTGGCACAAGCAGCGACGTTTTAAGTCACACCCTAGTACCTTTTCTTACCGATATATTTTTTTTCTCGAAAACGTCTTTTATATTGTACGGTAACCAAAGTAGCTATTGTACCTGATACAATGAAAGGGTAACTCACGTTAGGCTCTTATCTTAAGGTGTGATTTCATTGTTAGCTGTTTCGTCACATCATTCCTGTCTAATTCGAGTAGGCCCCCAATAATTCGATAGAGATAATCTATGTTAGTAATCAACAAGGCCATTTGGTTGGTGATACTTCTGTCTTGATGCTTCGTTGGATCGTTCGTGTGTTGATATGATACTTTCTGTTTACTACTTTGTACAAATTTCGCGTTGTTAATAATTATTCGTTCACTGTTTCAGTGTTTATTTATGCGAAAGTGGCTGAGGAGACTAGGATTTTTTGTTCAAGATTGTCCTGTTTTGTCGTTAGTTATTTTCATCCCTTCCGTCTCAGTCGTCTAGAAGTACTTATTTTTACTGAATTTGTACTGTTTATTACAGTTTCTGTTGAGGAATTTATTGTGCTGACTTTGATGTGGATTTAGATTAACAAAACGACAAAGAGTAAATTCATCTACTGAAGAGTTTATCTACATGATGCCTTGTGATACCAATAATTTGATTATTACGAATTCAACACCAAACTGCTTTTACTCACGTCAGAATGCTTGGTTTCTTTTAGTCCGTCGAACCCACCGTTATTGTCACCAAGCCTTCTAACAATCATCATTTGTTGCCAATAATTTGTGAATATAACCTGAATTGTGTGACATCGAGTTTCTGGGTTTCCGCATATCAATAATGAAGGCGTTATGCACGCTACTGAAGGAAACTTGTACGATTCTCAGAAAACTATTATACTTGTATGCTTTAATTTTCTGAAACAATATTCACAAGCAATAACTATGGTATTATAGTAATACCAGTTCAATGGAGTTGTATAGACTGTCCTGAACATCATATTTAATTATTCTGTGCATTGCAACAGTCGTTAATCAGAAAATTTCATCAATCGTAACAAAGTGCATGACGCAGATATGCTTTAGCTGTCATGACTTGTCAGTTTTGAGCTTATATTATGATTCCACGCAAAAGCGAAACTGAAAAAATAAGGCGTTTTCTGAAGCGTTTCTGGGTCCTTTAATTTAGGCTCCCGTGTACTGTATGTGGCTTCATAAGTGATTAATTTGCGGCGAATAAGAGTGTGTCTATTTTAGATTACTATATTAAACAGCTTATCTCCATATTACCCTAATTTAATCTCTATACAATTCAATATATCGAAATCGCATAACTACTACTGTTGTTTCTTCCTCCTTTCGTGCATTTTAACCTTTATTTAGATCTCTTTTAACCGCATTCTATGTTATTTACTCTTCCTCATCTGAGCTTATATTAGATGACATTGATTACCTAATTGTTCTATTGCATATTGCTGGACTACTGACGATAAGGTCGTGTTTGACCGAACTCGAGGTCACAGCGTGGTTCACTGTATGACTGTAATCTTTTCGCTGTCTGCTTGGAAAGAGTGCTAGAATCCCCGCAGATAGATATATGACTCCATCTTTTAGGGAAAATTTTTATAGACTCTCAAGTTTATTTCTGCAAGGGCAAGTACACGCCATTTTTACAGGCCTGGTCTACAAATTACAACATTTACTGGTTCACAGTATGCATTCCAAGCAGGGATGTCAAATAAATATAATCTATAAAAGTGAATATCAGTCCATTCGTTCAGATATAATAAGTTGTCTTGAAAATATTTTCTAATACGGCATCGCATCCACGATAAACACTAGATCCAATTTCGGCATAATTGTGTTAGGATTTTGATCGCGCTAAGTATCTATGCGATGCAACTTTTTAAGTTTATAGTTGTTATAAAGTGGGCTTGTAGAGCACATGGAGTGAAATATAACCTCGTGAAAGCAAGTACGTCGAGACTGTTCCAGATGTCAGAATTTCCATAGCTGTGCCCTCAGAGCAACGTTCTGAAAAAAAGATAAGCCGAGGATCAGCAATGCACTTGGATATGAATGATAAACAATACTCAGCATTTTGTAGTGAAACAGACAGAAGTAAGATAAATTATTAGGGTAAATCCACACTAGCTCCTGCTGTTGGAAACTCTTTCTCTGAGAGCACAGCTATGGACTTTCTGAAGTCTGGAACAAACTTGACGTACGCGTCTGGCTGGCTTCGTACTAGGGTCATCACTGCCACACTAGAGAGGAGTGATCTGTAGCAGTAAATAAATCCCCAAAATAAATAGCTCTGTACGTTTTCGACATTGGATGCTGGCCACATGTTTTAATAGACTCATCTAGCTGAAGGCGCTCGGTCATGCATCCGCACCAGGTCACGAGTGATAATGCCGTGCTCAACATCTACCGCAATCGCTAGCCAGATTAGATCAGACGATTCTCGATTTATTGATAACCTATCAAATATATCTTCGAACCCCCTCGCTTATGTCTTTTGATTTCACTTGGTGGGTACGCTTCATATTGGGATGTGTTACTGGTTAAAGCGTTGCCAAACTCCGAATACCCTTGACACCTTCAATAGTTTACAGCAAGCGCTCTACGAGCCTACTTTATAACAACTATAAACTTAATAATTTGGTAAGCATTCTGTGCGCCAACAAATGTTCTAATTGGTAGATCATGCCTGTAAAAATGGTGTGTACCTGCTCATGCAGAAATATATTATTATTATTACTAAAAAACAATGGGTTGGGATATTTACCAAGTTGGAGTAAGTTCAAATGAAAGAAGGAAAGTCAGAGTTTGAAAAAGGAAGGCTGTTTATTAGAACGAAAGTTTCATATAGATATTAGTGTTAAGAAAAGTAATAACTATATTTAATTGTCTGATTTTTTCTTTTTTTCCATCCGATGCCTGCCGTACAGTCTTAATGTAAAAGTTTGAGTTAGCATTTCATAGGTTGTCTTAGTAAAATAGCTAATACAGCATAAAATTGGAAACATGAGTCTGAGTGGTGGGGAAACAATTTCAATATCACAGATTGACTGACTTATTCTCAAACATAAAGAGCCTGATACATTCAAAATTTTCTGCCCCACAAAGATGGGTGGATTGAATTCATCGCCTCTACCGTCTATGCTTGCTGGTCAGTAACTCCAATCTCTTCCTCCTTTTGTGATGTTAGGCTCATTTAGGCTTATTTTTCGGATACATATCATACCTCACACAATGCTCTGTGCATCACAACCTGTTGGAAAACAATATTTATACAAGTACCACTTTACAATTATATCACCCAGTTACAAATCACGGACTGTGGGCAAGGCTTCGATGCAATGCTTTATTTGGCTATAGTATGAAATATAGGTTGTCAATCAGATTATAGTCTATAAGAAGGATATATTGTAAGATAGCTGCATACCAAAATCGGTGGAAAAGTATAGGAATATAAGAATTACAAATAAGGTAACGAGTGGAGAAATAAACTTAATGGCAGGTCAACTTAGTGTACTGGTGAGTAAAAAGCTGATAAAGAATAGACAAGAACCTACTTTCATTGACTTTGTTCTGATGTTATTTTGTGCTATCCTAACCGGTTGATGGGTAATAGGCTCCGTAGATGCAAGACCACAGGTAGCAGGCAGTCAGTCGTGCGGTTCTTTTGACTTTTTGAGGTAATAGTGAGCACCTCTTAGCAACCGAAACTCGATAGGCACAGTGATTTACCTGTCTGTATCAATTAAACACTTAGGGAGGAAGAAGTATCTAATACAGCTACAATTAGGAATATAAGGCAGTTTGGTCTATACATGTACAAAGCCCATAATGTTTGTGTGGGTCGCAGGTGCGTTCGTTCGTGCTAGATCTGTGCAAGTGAGGGCTTAATCAGTAAGCCTTACAAACGTATGCGATTCATCTGCCATGCGTATTTCAGAGAGAAGACTTCCATATTAATGCATTCCTAATGAGGAGGTTTTCCCGAGTTCTCGATCCGTGGATACTTTGTCTCGAGGATCGCATTCATGTGAGTTTTGGGCAAGAACCATATTATATGTGGAATAGTAAAGGTTTTTGAGGAGTTTGAAATAGCGAATCAAATTGGATCAAAGCCTTCTTTTCCAAAAGAGTCCTAAGTTACGGCATCGGAAGCTGTAGTCAATGAGTGAGTCAA